GGTATTAATGAAACGATTATTGAAATGTTAGTTAAAGCACTTCCGATTCTCACCATCTTCCATTGTTGTTGTGAAAACAGAAGAGGTGTTCGGTCCATTACCAACAGAGGTGAAGACCAACACTTGAAATTCATATTCAGTGTACTTGTCAAGGTTGGTGACTCTTTTTGATGTGTTTCCATTGTCAATAGTCAAAGAGGTCGCTAAACCTGGGTCTTTCCTTTTATAGAACAGTTTATATCCTCTGATGATTCCATGTCTGGAGTCCTCTGGTGGTAAATGCCACGAGGCTGTAATGCTAGTTGAAGAGTTCACAGTGACACTAAACTGAGAGGGAGGTCCTGAAGGAGCTGCAATAGAGCAGTCATATTTTAATTAGCATTTTAATAAATGAATCAGAGTCAGTGTCATTTTCCTTGACACTATCAATAGTAGAACTGACTTACAGCTATCACTTGGAAGTTTTCACTCAGGAAGATATCCATTGATGCCTCCTTGAGAGAGTGGCAAATTCAGTCGTAGAGATGTCTGAGTTGTAAACGAAATGACCCAATATGGAGGCTTAATCAAGGCACATTTATAGTTAATGATACTGGTAATGCCAATAACAGATTTCCAACAGACAAAAGCGGAACTTGTTATCATAATTTTGCTGCACTTATTCGTTATCATTAAATTTCTTTAAAACTTTGTCTTCTGTTCGACTCTTCCCATAAGTCAATTCAAACAACTGTGGGATAACAAGTAATGTAATTGACGAATCCCCCCTCCATATTACTTATTGTTACTTATTCGGTAGACACTGCAGGTTTTAACAACATATGCTACCTGTACATAGGCAGCTTTGACCGTTTTCAAAAACGATTTTCAATATAAGAAATCTGATTGCCATATTTAACACGGACAGACTTCAAGTTAATAGCTAAATTAAATGTATATCCCTTATTTGAAACTTTAACAGTGCCACTACCCCCAATTAAACGTTGTCCCTCCCGAGCTATCATGAAACAGGACATTTTAATGGACAAAATATTCTGATAATACCATGCATGTACAGACATGGGTTTATTTCTATAAAATTCAGGCAACCATATACACCTACCATAAAATTTTGTCTTGGAAGCTAGATTGAGTTAGGATCTATCAAATCAGAGATAGGACAAACAAACCCATAGACAAAGTTTCATAAATTCTGTTTGGCCTCTTCTTTAGGCCTGAATAACATGTATAGAGACATGTCTAGCAACCAAAAGTTTTTTGTTTCATAAAAATACTTAAATCCCTATTTCTTACCAGCCTCCTTTGTTTTCTCAAAAATAGCTGTACTATTTGCTCCATTCCCAACAGAAATGAATGCCAATATTTGAAATTCATATTCCGTGAACTTATCAAGCCTAGTCACCTCTTTAGTGCGAGTTGCCTGATTGTTAATGGACTGCATGCTTGCTGGCCCTGGAATGCCTCTCCTTTTGTAGAACAATTTATATCCTCTTATGACTACATTTCTGGAGTCTTCTGGTGGTAACTGCCAGGATGCTGTTATACTAGTGGAAGTACTTGCAGTCAAAGTGAAACCACCAGGGGGCTGTGAAGGAACTGCAAATTTAGAAGTCGCATTTTAGAAATTATAAGA